GGGAGGGACGGTGGGGGGTGGGGAGCTGGGGGGGGATAGCAGGGGGAGAAATGCCAGATGTAGGTGATGGGGAGGAAGGCAGCAAATCACACTGCCATGTGTGTTCCTATGCAACAATTTTGCATGTTCTTCACATGTACCCCAAAACCTAAAATACAATAAAATAAATAAATGGGAAAAAAAAATATATATATATATATATTGTGCTTTCTTGGTAAATACATTATTAATTGATTTGGATTTCTGGTTCAAGATGACTTTTTAAAGATTAGGATATTCATTCATTTATTTTTCTAGCTGTATCCAGCACATAATTGGAACTCAATTTTTTAAAATGTTAAATGAACAAATGCTGACTTCCACCATTCAAAAAGGGAAGTTTGAAGTGAATAACTTCACAGATTCATATGGGGAAATACACCTATATGTATTCTTAAATCATTTTTCAAGAGTCTAAATTCCGAAGTGTTTCTGAAAATTATCATAATTATCTTTCTCTTGGTCACAGGGGAAATCAAAGAAGCTTTAAGTTTCCCTGCATTTTTTAGCTAAAAACAATTATATAGAATGATTTTAGTTCTCAGAGGTGGGGACTTATTTTTTAGCTATCTTTTTAGCTATCTTTTTTATCAGGTTTTTTTATGTTTTCTTTTGATTGTCCTAATATTCTTTTTGAAATATTGTTATTATTAAATATAACATATAGAAAATATCATAAAACATGAATGTATAGTTTAATAGTATAAAGTGAATACCCAATAACCACAATAAAGATCAAGAAATAGAACATGAGGCTGAAAGTGGTGGCTCATGCCTGTAATCCCAGCACTTTAGGAGGCCAAGGTGGGAGGATCGCTTGAGCCCAGGAGTTTGAGACCAGCCTGGGCAACATGGTAAAACCTTGTCTCTACCAAAAAAAACACACAAAATTAGCGAGGTGGTGTTGTGCATGCCTGTAGTCCCAGGTACTTAGGAGGCTGAGAGGGAGGATCACTTGAGCCTGGGAGGTGGAGGCTGCAGTGAGCTGAGATCAGGCCGCTGCTGTACTCCAGCCTGGGCAGTGGAGCAAGACCCTGTCTCAAAAAAAAGAAATAGAACATTGCCAATACCCCAGAATCCCCTCCTTTTGTCTCTTCTCATCATAATGCCTTCCTTCCTTCCTAGAGAAAAATCACTACCCTCATTTTTGTAATTATCATTTCTTTGCTTTTCTTTATAGCTTTATCACTATGCGTCTCTAAACAATATAGCTATTTTTGCTTATTTTTAAAATCTATGTAGGTGAAATTATGCCATATGCGTATGTATTCTTTGTGTTTTGCTGCTTGTACTCAATATTATGTTTCTAAGAATCATCCATGTTGCCACATGCAACTGTAGTTCATTCATCTTCATTGCTATATATGGAAGTATACTATTAAAAAAAAGTGATTTATCTATTTTAATGTAGATTGACATTTGTGTTTTTTCAATTTTGGGTAATTGAGAACAGGATTGTTTCTAATAGTCTTTTGGCTGCTATGATCTGACCTTTTTCATATATCCTGGTATATATGATTGTTTAAAAATTATATGATTTTCATATATCCTGGTATATATGATTGTTTTAAAATTATATGATTAAGAACAAAAAATCCAAAAAGTTCTACAGATAAATTATTATCATTAGTGAGAGAGTATAGCAAGGTTGTTAAATATAAAATCAATATACAAAAATTATAGCTGAGCACAGTGGTTCATGCCTGTAATCCCAGCACTTCAGTTGCCAGAGCTGGTTAGATTGGTTGAGCTCAGGAGTTCAAGACCAACCTGAGCAATATAGCAAGACCCCATCTTTATAAAAATTTGTTTTAACTAACTATATTCCTATACATTAGCAACAAACTAATAATGAAATGTGAAAAGATGAGAGGAGGAGAAACTTTGTCATTGATAGTTCTTTGAAATGTAAATTAATATTTAAAAATTGACAGATCCCTAAGACTAAAATCTAACAACAGACAAAGATATCTTTTGGGGAAAATTATACAACAGTAGATTATTTTAGATTTTCTACATATGCAATCATTGGCACACAATGACAATTTCTTTCTTTCATTGCAATGCCTTTTCTTTATTTGTCTTACCTCATTACTACCTTCGCTACAGTGCTAAATAAAAGTGATGACAGCACGCTCCTTGTCTTACATGGAAAGCTTTCAACATATCACCATGAAGAATAATGTTTGCTCTCCATTTTTATAAATGTCTTTATAAGATTATTCCTATTATCTATTCTTAGTTACTCAGTCTTTATCATGCACAAATGTTGGGTTTTAAACAAAGGCTTCTTTTGCATCTATTGAGATGATCATATCATTTTTGTCATTTACTTTTTTAATGTGATGAATTACAGTGATTGATATTCTAATGTTATATCAATCTTAGGTTCTTGGGATAAACTCAAGTTGATCATGCTGTATTATTCTTTTCATATATTATTAGTTTCAATTTCTCTCTATTTTATTTAGAATGTTTACAAGTTTATAGGTGAGATTATCCTATAATTTATTTCTTATTGTACCTTTATCTGGTTTCATTTTCAAAGATTGTGCTAACCTCATAAAATTAATTGAGGAATGTTCCCTCTTCTGTTCTCTAAAAAAATTTAAGATTGAAATTCTTGGCTGGGTACAGTGGCTCACACCTGTAATCCTAGCACTTCAGGAGGCCAAGGTGAGTGGATCACTTGAGCCCAGGAGTTTGAGACCAGCCTGGGCAATATGACAAGACCCCATCTCTTAAAAAAAAATTGACATTCTTGATCTTTTCAAGTGCGATGGAGCTCATCAGTGGAATCATCTGGCCCTCTAACTTACTTTGTGGGAAAATATCTGATTACCAATTAAATTTCCTTAATGGTTATAGACTATTTAGTTTTCTAAAATTTCTTTAGTATTGATTAGATACATTTTTCTAGGAATTTGTCCATTTTATCAAACTTATTAGCTTAAAGCCATTCATTATGTCCTCTTATAACCCGTTTCATGTTTCAGCATTTGTAACAATGTCCCTTTCTCATTCCTTATATTGGTTCTTTGTTCTCATTTGTTCTCATTTCCTAATCTGAGTTCTGGGGATTAGTAAAAGTAGCCAGGAGTATTGGAGGCAGAGAAGCAGCATGAGCAAATGCACTAAAGTGAATGTATTTGGTATTGTTTCCATGAAAACCTCAAGGTAAAGCTTCTAATTAGGCTAACAATCAAGTAATGACAGGTCTTAAAGAGAGTTTAAATTTTACCTTATAAGAGAGTTAGACAACCAAAGAATTTTAACCAAGGAGAAATATAGTCATATTTTCATTTTTTAAGAATTATTTGTTAGGTACTAAACACACGTATGCTAGATACTGATGAATAAAATCAACAAGACAGGTTCTCTACCCTTGGGAAGCTTACAGTATAGTGGGAGAGGCAGTCATAGGAACAAATTATAATAGAGCACGATAAATGCTAATAAACAAAGTTTATGGGAGCAGATAGCTTACTTTGAGACAGAAGCTTGAGTTTTTTGGTGTAACTTTTGATTAATTCCACTCAGCATCTCTAACCATTTTCGGGCTTACATTATAGGCAAACATCTAGATCTCTTAGGAGCTGTTAAAATAGGATGGCTGGTACCCAGTCTGACTCCTTTCTGGACTTTTTCCCCTCAACTTGTGTTTTATATTTCAGCAGAGCACACATAATTCAGTTTGAAACCAGTAGTTTCTCTTTCCTTCCCTATATGTGTAGAGAATATCCAGCTGGTGGCTACAGTTCCGCTTCTGGTTTCGCTGCCATGCATCCTGGGCGAACTACTGGTAAGGGGCCCTCCACTCACATTCAGATTGACCAGCAACCTCCACGGCTTCTCATTGTGCATATTGCTCTACCGTCCTGGGCTGACATCTGTGCCAACCTCTGTGAGGCTCTGCAGAACTTCTTCTCTCTAGCCTGCAGCTTGATGGGCCCCAGCCGCATGTCCCTGTTCAGTTTATACATGGTACAAGATCAGCATGAGTGCATCCTCCCTTTTGTGGTAAGTATATTTATATTTATTTATTTTATTCTGAAAGTAAATACAGTGGTAATGTTTCTGGAATAGGGATCATAGTTATTAATACTTACAGCAATAACTACACTACCTCTCCATATGCGGTAGCCCCCAGGTGACACCATGAGAGTAAGAGGGCATCCTGCATATATAGGGGTGTACACACTTGAAGAGAAACTCCAAAATTATTAATCTGGGAGTATAAATAGGCTACAAGCTGCCCCTTTTTACTCCAGAGAGACGGAGAGAAACTTTGGCATTGACAGATGTTTGAAATGTAAACAACTGACTCCTTTTTTGCCCTTTGAAATGTAAACACAGAAGGGGGGAAGCCTCTAAATCTCTTCTAAGGTCTCTGGCTGTTCAATCATCTTTTAACTTCCAAGACTTGTACTTTAACCCAGGTACCAGTTTTCTTTGCTTAGAAAGCCCTAACTATGCAAAAACATGAACATATTTTTTCTACATTCCACATAGACTCAGGTGAAACTGCCCCCTAGAGTTATGGAAGGCAATGGCTGGGCCAGGTGCGGTGTTTTTATAAAGCCCCTTCATACGTAGAAAATTATGCTCTTCCTCAAAATTTCAATGTTCCCTTTCTCCCTTATATGAAATTCAGAATTATAGAGATGAGAAAGGCTTCCAGAGGTTCTATGCATCTCCTTCCTTGAGGTAGCCTTGCTGCTAATATATACTACTAAATGGATATAAGTCTTATTATTTCAGATTTCCAAAAAAGGAAATTTCATAAATCTATTGCTGAATTTTTAATATAATATATGACTGGAATCTACTTACTTTTTGATTAATACCTTAGTTTCCCTCATTGGAAGTGGAAAGATAACATCTCTGTTGATACTATAAAGAATGAAAATAATATACATTACTTTATGCTTCTTGGATTAGAACATACCCTGGTTGCTTTGACAGAACCTTAGGCTTACAACAACTCACGATTTATTTCTTGAAAAAAGTCACGCGGGGAAAGTGTTTAATATAAATGCTCTAAGTGCTAAGTGTGGGGATTTTGTCTGTGCATTGTTACTTAGGCTGGGTTTGGGAAATGATAAAATTATTTAAGAAATTCAATTGATCATTTCTACAGCTTGAGCAGAACTTGCTACCTCTATTCATTGTTTATTGCTGTGTAACAAATTATCCCAAAATGTAGTGGCCTAAATTAATAAACATTATCTCAAAGTTACTAGGAATTAGGAATTCATAAGTGGCTGAGGTAGATCTGGCTTGGGGTCCTTCATGAAGTTGTCGCCAAGATGTTAGTCATCTGAAAGCTCAAGAGAGGCTGGAGGATCCAGTCCCAAGAAGGCATATTCACTTAACTGTTGGCAGGAATTCTTATTTCCTGACCATTTGGGTCTTTCCATAGGGCTCGTGAATGTCCTTAATTTGTGGCAGCAGGCTTCTCCCAGAGCAACTGATCCAAAAGAGAGGGAGAGCAATAAAGAAGCCATAATATCTTTTATGCCATAGTCTCAAAAGTAACACGTTGTCACTTCCTCTACATTCTGTTCATTAGAAGCAAGTCATTGTTTCACCCTAGATAGAAAAACAGGGAGCAGATTTACCCTCTTGCCTAAAACAATTTTTAAAAAACTGGATAATATGTATGAAAACTACTTTTCAAAACACTGGATATCACACACCAAAGAACAAACCCCCTGGGAGATAAGAAGTAAATGAGGTGAGACTTAGAATGGACCCAGATTGCAGATCACCTGAGGTCAGTAGTTCAAGATCAGCCTGGCCAACATGGTGAAACCCTGTCTCTACAAAAATACAAAAATTAGCTGGGCATGGAGGCTGAAGCGGGAGAATCACTTAAAGCTAGGAGGCAGAGGTTGTAGGGAGCCGAGATTGCACAACTACACTCCAGCCTGGGTGACAGAAAAAAAACTCCATCTCAAAAGAAAAAGAATTGTCCTAGCTTACTCCCTTGAGAAAGTTTCCAAGCCACAATGCAGTGATGGAGATCCTGGGGGGAGTGCCAGTGGTTTCCGTAAGTCAAGGAGATGGATCTGGGACTTCAGGAAGACCAAGGAGGAAAAAGAGATACATAGAGGAAAGGAGAAAGAGAGAGTTACATACAGAACTCTAAAGATCTGAAGAGGGTTTCCCTTGAGTATTCAGCAGAGTACTGATCAGTACATGTGTGTAAGGAAACTACCCAAGGCCAAAGAAGGAAGCACCCTAAAGCACTAAAGACAATGGTACCTGATACTCACAACTGTAGTAGTACATGTTCATATCAGCCAAGCGAGAAATCCTCATAATTCATGATGCATTGGGTAGAGGACTCAAAAAGGTCTTGCCTCAGTAGGGCATAGAATAGCCCCAAGACTTAGTACTGCTCAAGACTACCTAACATAAACACAAGATCCTAAGTGTCAAACTGTTCCTAGGTAACCTAACTATCCCAGAACAAAGCTCAAGAATATTTATAGAAATACAAAAATATGTAGCACCCAACAAGGTAAAATTCATACTGTCTGGCATTCAATCAAAACTTAAATAGGTGTGCAAAGAAGCAGGAAATTATGACTCATTTTGAAGAAATTATTAATTAAAACTGACCCAGAAGTGACATAAATGTTAGAATTAGCAGATGAGGACATTAAGACAATTGTTATAATTGGGTTCCATGTGTTCAAAAGCTAAGTGGAGATATAGAAGATATTTTAAAAGATCCAAATTAAAATTTTCGAGAGGAAAACTATAATTTCTGGCATGGAAAATACACTAGATAGAATTATTGGCAGATTAGACATCACAAAAGAAAAGATTAGTGAACATGAAGACATAGGAATAGAAACTATCCAGAATGAAACACAGAAAGAAAATAATCATTTTGTTATATGAATAGAGCATAATTGAGCTGGGGCAACTTCAAGCCATCTAATTTATGTGTAATTAAAGTTACCAAAGGAGAGGAACAGGGGACAGAAAAAAATACTTTTAAAAATGGCCAAAGTTTTTCTAATTTTGATAAAAACTCTAAACTCACAAATTTAAGAAACCAATGAATGCCATACACCAGAAACATGAAGAAAACTACATTAAGGCACATTATATAAAAACTATTGTTAAAGATGAAATATTGAGGCTAGGCATGGTCACTCACACCTATAATCTTAGCACTTTGGGAGGCTGAGGCAGGAGGATCATTTGAGCCCCAGAGTTTGGGATATATGTAGAGGAAATACCTAAGATAATTATAAACAAAGGAGAGTAAAGTGATATAAAGGGAGGTAAGGTTTGTACACTTCATTTGAACTGGTATAATGTTGACACCAGTTGACTCTGATAAGTTTCTAGGTATAATGCAAAAATTAGAGCTACCACTGAAATACCTATGCAAAGAAATACACTCAGAAACACCATAGATAAATCAAAATATGGTATTTTTAAAATATTCGAATAGCCCATTGGAAGGTATGTAAAAGAAAACAAAGAAACTAAAAACAGAGGGAACAAGCAGAAAACAGCAAATAAATTGGCAGGCTAACATATCAATAGTTACATTAAATATGAGTGGCCTAAAAACATCAATTAAAAGAAAGAGCTTGGCAGAGTTAATTTTTTAAATGACCCAACTATATCCTGTCTAAAAGAAACTAACTTCAAACACATGAAATATAGGCTGAAAGTAAAATAATGAGAAGGGATATACCATGTAAACATTAACCAAAACAAAGCAGGAGTGGGTATATTAATATATCAGATGAAATAGATTTCAGATGGAAGAATACCAGGTTCAGAGAGGGACATTAGACAATGATGAAAAGGTCAGTCCACCAAGAAGATACAGCAATCCTAAATGTGTATGCACCAAACAACAGAAGCTATAAAATATGTGGAGCAAAAGTTGATTGATCTAAAAGAAGAAAGAGATAAATCCACAAGTATAGTTGGATTCAGTGTCCCTCTCTCAACAATTTTAGAACAACTAGACAGAAATCAATAAGGATATAGAAAAACATCAGCCAACAGGATCTAATTGGCATTTATATAATACTCCACCCAACAACAAGCAGAATGCACCCATTCTTTTCAAGCCCCCATGAAACATTTGCCAAACTAGACCATACCATGGGTCATGAAGGAAAGAAACTTAAACAAATTTTAAAAATTGAAATCACACACAGTATGTTCTCTGACACAATGAAATCAAGGTAAAAATCTATAACAGAAACCTAACAGAAAAATTCCTCCAAACATTTGGAAACTAAACAAAATACTTCTAAATAATCCATGGGCCAAAAAGCAAAATGTCAAGGGAAATTTTAAAAGACAACATTGAAATGAAAGTAAATGAAAATGCAAATATCAGAATTTATGGCCATAGCGGTGGCTCACGCCTGTAATCCCAACACTTTGGGAGGCTGAGGCAGGTGGATCACCTAAGATCAGGGATTCGAGACCAGCCCGACCAACATGGAGAAACCCTGTCTCTATCAAAAATACAAAATTGGCCGGGAGCCGGGCATGGTGGCGGCACATGCCTGTAATCCCAGCTGCTCGGGGCCTGAGGCAGGAGAATTGCTTGAACCTGGGAGGTGGAGGTTGCAGTGACCTGAGATTGCACCATTGCATTCCAGCCTGTGCCACAAAGTGAAACTCAGGCTCAAAAAATGAAAAACTTGTGGGATACAGCTAAAGCAGTGCTGAGAAGGAAATTTATGGTACTAAAATGCTTACATTAGAAAAAAGAAAAGTCAAATCAGTAATATAAACTCCCACCTCAAGAAACTGGAAAAGGAAAAGCAAAATGAACTCAAGGCCAGCAAAAGGAAGAAAATAAGAGCAAAAATAAGTGAAATTGAAAACAGAAGATCAGTGAAAAGAAGTTGATTCTTTGAAAAGATCAATAAAATTGACAGCCCTCTGGCAAGAATGACAAGGAAAACAGAAAAAGAAAATATAAATTACCGGCAGGGCATGATGGCTCACACCTGTAATCCCAGCAC